AAATTAATGACGCAAATTTAGTGCTGCATCACGGTAACATCTGCCGGTCGATATGTTAGTCAATTCTCGTCCGCTGAATGTAATGTATGTGATTAGTGTTTGGGAATCAAAGAGTATCACTTGACAAGAGTGTCACTTCTTTTACCATGAGAGAATTTGAAGAGATTGCATATCCTGGTCTGTTGAACCATTTCTTACCAGAACTTATATCCCATGGCCATTTTCTGTTGGGCAATTGAAAATGACCAGGCTCGAAGGTAGCTTGTTATGAGGGCTCAGGGAATGGAGACAAGCTAGGGAGCGGATGAGCGGTAAATGGCGGTTTCTTAGGCTAGAGTCTGATACAGGCTAGCTAGAAGATGAAAAAAGCGAGCAGGATCTGAATGAAAAACCAAAATAAAATGCCGGATAATTTTTCAAACTAATTGGTTATATCAACGAAGTTGAAATTGTAAATTGTTCACCGTAACGAATAAAAAAAGCTGACGTTTCGAGCGTTAGCCCTTCGTCAGAGCGAATGGAGGAATTGTGAGTTGTACGTGGTTTTAAATGCAGAAAGCGGAGCTACGCCATTGGTGGGAACATGGCAACGAGAAAAACACGAATCAATTAGTGGAATGAAAAGCGTTCGTTGATACCTGTGGGATTAAGAGTGCCGATTTGAAAGATTAATTTTTGTTCAAGAGTTTTGCCACAATTCCTCCATTCGCTCCGACGAAGGGCTAACGCTCGAACGTCAACTTTTTTATTCGTTACGGTGGCCAATTTACAATTTTAACTTAGTTGATATAACCAATTATCTTGTTACCCCCACCGACGCAGCACCACAGTTTCTTTAGAAACTTTCAGCCTTTATTCAACTAAATATAGATTTGATTTCATGTGATTCAATCTTACGTTGCTCAACAATCCTCGCGACTGGTAATTGAAGTTTGTCAAGATAATCTAGGTTCATCTTACCCGACTACACCAAATCACAGAGCAGTAATCAAAAAGAGGAAGAATCATGCTGTTATATAGTGTTCTACAGGCCTTTATATTCAGTCGAGTCGAGTGTCGCAATGCGTTGGTGGGATCGAACGAAAATGGCCCCTGCGGTGCATCATGTTAACAGTGGCTAAAATAGAAAAACTTTTATATTGTAGACAAAGAAGTTTCGAGTGCCACACTTCTAGTCTTCGTTCCACACGACTAGACGCGAACTAAGCCATTGAAAGGGTTTATTAAGATAAACCAATCTTATCCGGAGGCTTCGAAGGACGCTCCGGAAATTTCCGAAGACCTCCCAAAGATTTCTGATTCAACCTTATCTGGAATGCTCTCCCTGCTAATATCAGAGACTTTCCCAACATAACCCTCAGTTTTCAACTGAATGAGCTGAAGATCTAAGATAAGATTGCTAGGTGTCTTTAAAATAATATTTTGTAAAAACAATTAGGACCCAGTCTCTATACTAATAAATAGGTACTTTGACCAGAATGTGTGATCACATCCTAATCTTTATCATTTTTCAAATATTGTCACGTTTACGGATACGAACTTTAATCTTTTTACTTATGTAACTCTTTCATCTTTTAGCACAAAGACACTAAGAAACTTTCAATGACTGTCTATTAAATTTGTTAGCGTGCTTTGTTTGATTCTATTCCGTGACTAGCGAATATCCGCTCAAAGTTAACTACACAAAGCATTGTTCATTTTTATTTCCCCTACGTCAAAGTGTAAGAACTAAATTCGCCTTCTATTAGCACGTAGTTCAGTCGCGAGGAGTCATTGTAGCGAAACCATTTCGGAGCCGAACGGAGTTTCGGAGTTCTCTACCCCGGAGTCAAGATCCGATGTGATTTACGCCTGTAATATTTCTCATTTTTATCATTTCTAGTTTCGCCCTATTCGTTTATTCGTAGCCTTTCGGTTTTCCTTATATCGAAGCTCCATGTACCCGTTGTATAGTTTTTACCGCCTGTGCTGTACAAAGACTGCCAGCTTAAGTGAATAAAGAGTTGATGCTGCTACTCGTCTAAAGTTCATCACTGTGGTTATACTGGCGAACTCCGCTGCACAACACCACGTGTCTGCGGCATTGGGAACGCGACAAATATCAATCAATCAATCAATCAACCAACTTTATTAATGTGTCAAACTCTTCTAGCTGGCCACAAGTGGCCTACTAATCGGTGACACCTAGTTAATAAAATCTATATAAAGCTTAAGGTTACATTTGATAATATTTACAGCAGAATATTTACTATAAAAGTTTCAGTAATAGCGTTAAAATATTAAATCTGTATATAAAATAAATAATAATGATAACAATAAAATGGTTTACAATGTAATATAATTAATCTAAAAGTAAGCGAAAGATTAACTTAAGTAGAGTCTCAAGTGTTACACAGGTAACAATTTGAACATTTGTTCTCAACTAGACTTGAAAAAAGGTCCTTCTTTCTGATTCGTGTTTTAAAGGCCGATAATGAGGCTAGGGCCCTATCCTCAGACAGTTTGGACCATAAGAGTGGTCCACCGTATCTAATGGAGTGTAATGTATCTAAATATGTGCAGTACTTTCTGACTTTAATCAAATAAATACTGATAAAAACAACTTGTCTGCGTCCTCGTTCTGTTTTTAAACTTTTTTCTTCAATAGCAATGGCTGACCTGCGAGCAAGCTTTCCCGGCGGCTTGAGGTAGGGTGGGGAACGAGTGAACGCTTATTTAAATTCTTTCCATTCCTTTTTACCCATCCAAATCCGCGAGGGAACTTGCTCGGAGGCCAACAATTAGCTAGAATTCTTCATTTTCCACCCTGTGACTTTTCAGTGTCTTCTTAAGCCATTCAGCTGTATAGCAGTAATTATATTCTAATTCGCCACTCCGCTCAAATGAATAAAAACATTTATCATGAAATAAGCAACCACAATTGGGGCGTGTCAACACGAGCCGTGTGCGACCCCCTTTAATATGCATTCATCAACAAAATGAATAGGAATGATACGAAAAATAGAATGAAAACTCGGAAATGTAAAAATACAGCAAGAAAAACCACCCTACAAAACAATCTAAACTATGTTTGTATAATAAATGATTCCGTAAACGTGCTAAACTTTTCATATGGCAGCGTGCAAAAACTACGTTTAACAGAAACTCTTATTCACTGGGTATTTAATTTAGAGGGCTTCAGGACGGTCGTGAGACGCGAATAGGTATAAACGACCACAACTCAAACATTTATAGCCTACCGCTAATGAAGCAATTGTAACAGCATACCATGTAACACCCTAAAGTAAGGGTAAATGATAAATATATTTATCTTAAAGGATCCCTTCCAACCACAATACCCTGCGCGCCTCTATTATTGTTTTGATGCCAGCAGCGTGAGTCAAATAGAAAGAACAATAAATTTGGAACGCGATTGAGGAAATTCAAGACCTCAGTGAGGCAAATGTACTCGGATGAATGAGGATTTCTTTCCACTTCACGACTTGTCCAGTACCGGATGGCAGAGAAAATGGCGGATTTCACATATCGCGCGCGCAATGCATTGTGGTTGGAAGGGATCCTTTAAGCTCCTGTCGTTTTAATAAATTTGAGCTCGTGTCGTACGTCAGTTGAAATTCCATTGTAGGTGGCTACCGAGTGGAAGTCACCATACTCTCACCCTTCATGCATTCGCGACATGAGAATTTTAAGCCTGCGAGCAGGTCTTGATTAGTAGCTCTGCAGGACGCGCGTTTATCCGCCCGCAGGAAGATTGGAAACGAGTCGGGGTGAGGTTCGCCAGGCGTTTGGCGTTAAATATCAGTTCTAGATCATTTTCAGACCTCTCGCGGGCTTGCGTTGTTCGAGGCCTCTCACTTGCCCGCGGATGAGAACAGGCGCGAGCCAAGCGCTGATAACGACGCTGAGAATTCACTTCAACTTAACAAAACAATAGCTACTTTATTCACTCTTCTTTTCTTCTGTATTTTTTTTTGTGAAACATTTTTTTCTAACGTGTTCTTCACTTCATGCCAAAGCGTCAGTCACTCGCCAACTGTCACAGTTGCCTTTTAAAGTGCTACTGAAACGTAATTTTCATATCCGAGATTTTTGCAATATAATAGAGTTTGAACGTTATTTGCAAACGCTGTGTTCTTTTCTTGGGCCAACGCATACCGGAAAGTACATTTTTAAGCATTCGAAGTTGACCGGCTGAGATCAAAATTGGCGGCCATCTTGGCGCGGCCAAAACAGCCCTGTGACGTCACTGGTTGTGTACCTCTGTGAAAGAAGGGTAAAAGCATGGAGTGTGGCTTGCATGTTGGGAGGCCGAAAAAGAGGATTTCGGGCAAAATGCCATCCTCGTCTTATTCATCGGCGGCCACATCGGCATCTTGGCTATCTGCGAGAGGTT